AGAAACCCCTTAGGGCTGCCAACTGATGTGCCAAGACTACTTCTGCCCCTGCTTTCCCTGCCAACTTGGGACTCCAGAGCCCTGCCTGGTTGTGCCAGACATGCTTGCCCACCACTAACACTGACCCAGTTCTGAACCACATCCCACAAACTGCAAGCTTAACTGAAAGCAGCTTAAGAAGTGTTTCTGTCTTTAACACTCAGATGCCCAACTCCCAATGGGGTCCAAACCCCAAATAATTCTGTTTTACCCTGTATAAAGCTTATACAGGGTAAACTCATAAATCGTTCACCCTCTATAACACTGATAGAGAGATATGCACAGCTGCTCCCCCCTGCCGCCCCTTGCAGGTATTAATACATACTCTGGGTTAAATAATAAGTAAAAAGTGATTTTATTAAATACAGAAAGTAGGATTTAAGTGGTTCCAAGTAATAGCAGACAGAACAAAGTGAATTACCAAGCAAAATAAAATAAAACACGCAAGTCTATGCCTAATACAGTAAGAAAACTGAATACAGATAAAACCTCACCCTCAGAGGCATTCCAGTAACTTCCTTTTGCTGACTAGTCTCCTTCTAGTCTGGGTCCAGCAATCACTCATACCCCCTGTAGTTACTGCCCTTTGTCCCAGTTTCTTTCAGATACCTTTTGGGGTGGAGAGGCTCTCTCTTGAGCCAGCTGAAGACAAAATGGATGGGTCTCCCTGGGATTTAAATAGACTTTCTTTTGTGGGTGGACACCCCTCCCTTCCCCTGTGTAGAATCCCAGCTACAAGATGGAGTTTTGGAGTCACATGGGCAAGTCACATGTCCATGCATGACTCAGAACTTATAGGTAGCAGCCATGGTTCACATGCTACCTTGAACGTCCTCAAGTAGACTTCTTATGTGGATTGGAGCCTTCCAAGATTCATTGTCCATTAAGTCTTTCTTGATTGGGCACTTAACTTGTACATTCCTTTCTCAAGAAGCTGACCAAATACTTTACTAAGGCTACTTAGAAATCAAGCAAGTACACAGCCAATATTCATAACTTTGAACACAAAAATGATACATGCAAACAAATAGGAGGAATACATTCAATAGATCATAACCTTTACAGAGATATGTTACATGGTATGTGTAGCATAAAACATATTCTGGTTATGTCATCTATACATTCATAAGCATATTCCCATAAAGCAGGGGTCTCAAACTCAAATGACCACGAGGGCCACATGAGGACTAGTACATTGGCCTGAGGGCCGCACCAGTGATCCCCCCGGCTGCCTCGACCCCGACCCCACTCCACCCCTTCCCTGAAATCCCCACCCCAACTCTTCCCCCTCCCTGCCCCCAGGGGGTGCAGGGTGCAACAGGAGGCTCAGGGTGCAGGAGGGGTGCAGGGTGCAGCAGGGGACTCAGGGCAGGGGGCTGGGGTGCGGCAGGGGGTTGGGGTGCAAGAGGGGTGCAGGGTGCGGCAGGGAGTTCAGCTGCAGGAGGGGTGCGGGCTCCATCCTGGCACGCACTGGGGGCAGGGCAGGCTCCCTGCCTGGCCTGCCCTGCCCCCACGCCGCTCTGGGAAGCGGCCGGAACCGGGGGAAGGGGGGCCCACAGGGGTCTGTGTGTTGCCCTGGCTGCGCCCCCAGGTACCGCCCCCGCAGCTCCCATTGGCTGGGAGCAGGGAACAGTGGCCAATAGGAGCTTCAGGGGAGGTACCTGGAGGCACGGCCAGGGCAACACACAGACACCTGTGCTCTCCCTCCCCAAACTTACTGACCCTCTGTGCTGCATATGACAATCTTCAGAAGTTAGAGAGCCAGGGGGTGCCTGCCAGGGTCTTGGGGCTTCAGCCCTGCTGGGAGGCACCTGCCAGGGTCTGAGACTTCAGCCCCACGAAGGGCTGGTGGAATTAGGGGCTTTTGCTGTGCAGGGTGTGTGTGTCTTGGGGCTTTTGTCCAGTGGGGTGGGGGTCTCAGTGCTTCAGCAGGTGCCTGCTTGGGCTCAGGGCTTCAGCCCCACTCCTGCTGAAGCGCCGAGCCCTGGCAGGTCACCACAAAGAGCTGAAGCTCTGAGACCCCCCTACACCCTGCTGGGCAGAAGCCAGAGGCCATGTGCGAGGGGGACACATGGGTCATGTGCCCCCTCACCCCAATATTTACCACATTTGCTGGTCCTATTCAGTCACATGGTGCCACCGGAACCCCTGCCTGCACTGCAGCTGCTGGAGCCAGCAAGCTAGGAGCTGTGGCTATGGGTAGAAGCAGCATCAAATAGCTGGGAGAACCACTGCTTTTGCTGCTGACTCTCCACGCAGAGCTAACAGCTGGGAGCTGCAGGAAGGGTGTGTGTGCCTGGGGGGGAGAGGGCATGACTCAAGCTGTTGGGGGAGGGGGCCTGAACATTTAAATTGTGCCCCCCCCCCTTTCAGCAGGCACCAGCCATCTCCAAGCCCCTAGCCACACCACTCTGCCTCAGAGCAGGAGTCCCAAGCTCCCCACACCAGTCTGGTAGGCAGAGAATGGGGCAGGGGTGGCTCCATGAGCCACTGTTTGGCCACTCATATTTTATACCAAAAACAAAAACAAAAACAAAACAACTTTGCTTGATCTGTGGACAACCTAGCTTGAACCAATAATGCAAACTACTCCCAGTTTTCTCCAGGGTGGTTTAAATCCCCTGGAGTAATCCCCCCCGTGTTTAGTTCCTGGAGGAGCTGTCCCTATGGAGTAGAACACAATCATACAGAGAACTTCCATGAACATAATACAGTGGTTATGACAGGTTTGGCCACAGAGACCCCCTTGGGACTGTCACTGGACATGCTGAAATGACCTCTGAGCCTGTTTTTCCTGTCAGCTTAGGATTCCAGAGCCCTGCCTTGTTGAGCCAGAGTCACTAGCCTGCTGCAACACAAACCCAGGTCTGATCCACACTCCCAAAGCTGCAGACTTTAACCAAAAACTGCTCAGCAGGTCACTTCTCTCCAGCACTCAGTTCCCAATGGGATCCAAACCCCAAATAAAGCAGTTTTACTCTGTATAAAGCTTATACAGGGTAAACTCAAACTCTCCGTCCTCTATAACACTGATAGAGAGGTATGCACAGCTGTTTGCTCCCCTAAGTACTTATCACTTACTCTGGGTTAATTAATAAACAAAAGTGATTTTATTAAATACAAAAAGTAGGATTTAAGTGATTTCAAGTAATAACAGACAGAACAAAGTAAGTTACCAAGCAAAATAAAACAAAACGCGCCAGTCAAAGCCTAATACATTAAGAGACTGTTTACAGGTAAATCTCACCCTTAGAGATGTTCCAATGAGCTTCTTTCATAGACTAGACTCCTTCCTAGTCTGGGCCCAATCCTTTCCCCGGTACAGTCCTTGTTAGTTCCAGCAGGCATCTTAGATGAAAAGCAGGGGCTTTTTCAGGACTAGGATCCTCTTTGTTCTCTTCCACCCACTTTTATAGCTTTGGCACAAGGTGGGAATCTTTTGTCTCTCTGGATTCCCACCCCTCCTTCTAAATAGGAAAGCATCAGGTTTAAGATGGAGTCCACCATTCTTCCTGGGCTGGCTCACAGGAAGGCTTGCAGGTAAACAGAGCCATTTACAACCAATTGTTCTAGTCAGTGGGAGCCATCAAGATTCTAAACGATCATCAATGGCCCACACTTTGCATAATTACAATAGGACCTCAGAGTTATACTTTATATTTCTAGCTTCAGATACAAGAATGATACATGCATACAAATAGATTGAACACACTCAGATTTTAAGCTTTGTAATGATACCTTACAAAAGACCTTTTGCATAAAGCATATTCCAGTTATATCATATTTACACCCATAAGCATATTTCCATAAAACATTATGGAGTGCAAGGTCACAGTAGTCTGCAGGGATTTGGCCTGGGATTGCAATATCTGCCATAGCCCCCACACTGGCTCCATACAGAGTCTTGCCTGTGCAGCACAGAAAGCCCCCCGGCCCCAAAGTCCCTGCGTGCCCAGACAACCAAAAGAAGAGGACCTGTGCAGGCAGCGAAGAGGCGAGGGGAGTGAGGACAGTCCCCATCCCTCAGTCCAGCCCTCTGGCCTGTACACAGCGCCTGGGCCCACCCCGGGGGAGCGTGTGGTGGGGGTGGGGTTTTCACGCCAGAAGTGCCAGACCCTCAGCCAAGCCACTGGAGGAGTCCCCGCAGGCCCTACAGAAGCTGCAGGGCCCTGACTGGGGGCACGTCTGCACCAGCTACTTGGCTCGCAGCCTCCCCCAGGGCCCTTCCCTCCGGCGGGACACACAGCCCAGGCCAGCCCACGCTGCTCCCCGCCCCGCCGGGCTCCGCATGGGGCCGCTCTTGCGGGCCGGGAGGTAGCGGGACCACGCCCTGGGGCAGGGCAGCGGGACACGCAGCCAATCAACCAACACCCCATTATTCATGAGCCTCCGGAATCCGCCGCAGAGCCAGCCGCCCAGAGCGGAAATGACGCAACGGCCTAGGACCTCAACTTATTTCCGCTTCTGAAAGGGGAGCATCGTCCACTGTCAAAAAACATTACTTCAGCCCTTACTTCCGGCCTGGAGTCCCCCCTTCGCCGACCTCGTTCACTACTTCCGGCAGGAAAATCTCAGCCCCTCCCCAAAGGTTGCGGTTCGTTCTGATTTGCAATAGGTGATTCCCGCCCTTCCGCGGTTGCCGCTACTGCCGGTCCCGTGCGGTGCGGGCGCTGCCCACGATTAGCACTTCCGGTTTGTAAATCCATTCATTCATTTCCGCCTGCACTGCAACCGTGCCTGTTTATGACGTCAGTTCCGTCCTTCCCAGACCCCCCCGGACGTGCCCAAACACGCCCCGCCTCCTGAACCGGAAGTGATTATCCGCACCCCTTTCCGGTGAGGAGGTTGATGCCGCCGCTGGAGCTGGGGTCGGGGTCGCAGCTGGGGGGTGGTGTCCGGTAATCAGTGGTGGGCGAGACAAAGAGAGACCCGGGGCAATGGTACTTCCGGGGTAGAATGACCCGGAAGCGGAAGCGGGGAGGCTTGATTGGGTGTCGGTGCAGAGTGCCGTCAGTCTCTGGGCTCCGACGCGCGGGGATTGAGATTCCGGACAGGGTTGGCCCCTCCCTCGGGCTCGGTGCCTTCCGTGTGTGCGGGGAGCGGGCTGGGGGCTCCCCCTGGGGCGGACACTCCCCGCGTGGGCGGGGCTGCCCCCGGCTCCCTGTGGGATGTGTGCGCGCGGGGGGGTCCCCGTTTCCCTGTGGCCGGGCCCCCGCGCTGGCTGCGGGGCGCGTCTCTCTGCTCCCCCCAGCCCCGCCATGCAGGCCCCCGAGCCCTGGTTTCGCCAGCGCGTCTAGTAACGCTGGTAGTTTGTTCGCAGAAACAGCCCTGGAAGGAGGAGAAATGCAAGAGGAGGGAGAGTGGTAAGAAACTTCCAGGAAAATCCGGGCAGCTGCGGGCATGACTCAGTACTTGCTGTCCCCTCCCTGCCCCAGTTCTGTAGGGTGGCCCTGGCGCCCAGCTCTGGGATCTTGGGCCTTTCTTCTTCTGGGAATTAGTTCCTGTCCAGGGACTGACTTGTTCAAAGGGTTGGGGAATAAGCTATAGGCTGCTTCATCTCTAGGGCATCAGGTCCTGTCTAACTTCAAGGTATGGGGGAGGGACCTCTAGTGTACTAGTAGGGCTGGTTGGGGAAGGGGAATCCAGGTCTTTTTTCTCCACTATAGTTAGGTTATTGATGGCATGGAACCAAATATGGCTTTTCAAATTGTTACACAGAGTTCCTTAATTCTTCTTTCTCAGAGCTCTGTGAGGATGCTTTTGCATCTCATCAAATACCCTGTGTTCAATGTGTGTTCTTCAGCATGAATTGTTTCCAGCATCACTTGGGCCTAAAACTTCCCCACAATGAAATCAGATCTTGTACAGATATAATGGTTACCAGTCTCAAGTGTCATCCTCAGAGTTTTTTTTTTTATTATTATTATTATAAAGTTGAAAATGGAACATCACAATAAATAAATTAACTGTGTGAAAGTAAGGAAAATTGCATTTAAAGCCTACTTTCTCTATTCTTGCATCTTTAGCCTTAATTATACCCCCTTTTACACACCACTTCTTCACTCTAAGTCCTTGCTACACTTTTCATGTATATGCCAGTGATTCAATGCGGCAACTCCGTGAAATGTAAGCCCGGCCTTTGAAATATGTGAATCAGTGAGAACCATAGTGGTGATACCTTGTCCCGCATGATAAGCAGTAATTGAATTCTCTTGTTTAATTGTTTGTTCGGTGCATGTAAATTTGGCCTGTACATGGAAGGTATTGTTTCTGGTTTATATCAGGAGGGTACGTTGACATCTGTCTGATACTAGACTGGTGAATGGGAAGAAGGTCCCATCTGTGGCCTGTTTGTGGAAGCTGAGATGATGAAGGCACTTCAGTGGGAACATGCTGTGGTACAGGGTTGAAGCTCCATCCCGTATGTGATAGTGATAGAGCAATTGGAAAGGTTACATGCTCTGGTAAAGTAAGTGTAAGCTGTGTTAAGGGGGTGGGATGTTGAATAGGGATTCATATTTCCAAAAGGGTTATTAGTCTACAGTGGGTGGCTAGCTATGGGTAGGAGGAGAGAAGTCTGTTGGAGGAACTTTATCTTTAAATGTCCTCACTTTGAAGGTTTGGCATGCCGCTGAAATTGCATGAAATCATCTGTTGTGACAACTTTGTCAAGCTTTCATCTTTTAAACTGAATTTTTCCGAACCTGATCTCTCCCATATGTGAAGGGTTTTGGGGAGTTAGCCATTTTTGAGAACCACTACAGTGGAAAATATACTTTTGCCTTTATAAATAAAATTGTGACTATATAATGACTCTAATAATGGACTAGTTGGGGGTAGGAAGTTACTGATTGTTTCCATCAACACTGGTTTCAATTTGAGTTTGAAAACTGAATTTCTTTTAACTATCTTCCAATTTTCTAAATGGAAGAAGACTATGTTATGTTTGTGTGTGTGTGTGGAAAAATCAGGATTTTACTTAATGTTATGAGCCCTTGTCTTCTACACCTAAAACATTACAGGTGAAATGCTGGAAATCTGGCACCACCGTCAGCTTTGTTTGCATAGTGCAGAAAAACCTCAATATTGTGTTGTACGAACCCAATTTCATTTTGGTTTTAAGATTCTATCTGGGCAAATAGTGAAGGTACTTATATCTTGTGGGGTTTTTTAAAATGCCTTGGGAAACTATAGAAATGCCATAGGAAGTGCTCAGAAGTCACAAAAATGCATTAATTGCCCCCTCATGTACTTGCATTATGATTATGTTCTGTCATATAATTAGACTCTAATGTACACAGGCCCCTGCTTCAGCCAGTGCATGCGCTGAGTTGTGTTAAAGAAATGAAGATGAGATGGCTTCTGTAGCTCCCTCATGTTCTGGACCAGGTTATGATTGATTGAATTACTTTGGATTTACACTATTGTCAATCAAAGTCTATTAATTAACAGTGAATTTATATTGGAGTAGCTAAGAACAAAATTTGGCCTTTAAGTATACTAGTTGGACAGTAGGTAGTGAATGAGGCAAGGGTGGGTTCACTAAACAGAAAGGAAGTAATTCATTTAAAAAAATTACAAGTAATTGGGTTTATTTAAAATTCTTTGATTTTTGGCTGATATATAGGAATTGTAGTGTGTACAGTGTTCATCTTCATTTTGGTTTTATTACACTTTTTAAAAATGTCTTATCTCTACATTATTCATTGCACACTGCTCAGCAACCTGTCTACTGAATGGGATGGGGCCTAAAGAAAAATAATATATGGTCATGTAATTAAAGACTGTATTTCATAACTGATGTAGAAATGTAGCAAGTTGAGGCAGCACAAATAACCTTACCCTAGGCACTTTCTAACTATGAGCACCTCACTTTTCAAACTTAATGTTACCCAAATGTAGTTTTTATTGAATGGAATTTAATTATCTCTTTCAACGTATATTTGAGTGAATAGTCTAAGCCTTCATGCTACAGTTTTTGTATATGAATGTCCTTAGTTTTTAAATAGCCATTTAATGCCAGCTGAGCATATTATCTCAGGGAGTGGATTTTGTCTCTTCCAGTTGCTGTGCTCATAGAGGTGAAGCTCCTCCAGTCTGAAGAGGACTGCCATTTGGTCTCTGGCCTGGTCTACACTGATTTAAGTGTAGACCAGACCAGAGACCAAAAGCATTTCTATAGTTTCCCAAGGCAGTATAGCTACATTGGTCAAGGGTGTGAAAAATCCATACCCCTGACAGACATAGCTAAGCTGACCTAACCCTCAGTGAAGATGCAGTTCTGGCAGTGGAAGAATGTTTCTGTTGACATAGCTACCATTGTTAGGGGAGGTTGTGTTCCTACACCAATGGAAAACCCCTTTCTGTTAATGTAATCTGCATTTACACTACGGGGGTTATGCTGGCATAGCTGTGCTGAGGTAGCTAGGACGCTATAGTCTCTGCAGTGTAGACATAGCCTCAGGTTGGCTTGAGAGCTGGGGTTGGGCAGCAGTGACTTGAGGGGTGGTATTGGTGGTATATGATTGTGTGCCCAAAACATGGCTGAAGGATGGTACTAAAAGGGGGGTGGCATAGTGAGTCACTCCTTCATCCCTTTTGGAAGGAGGGGAATGTGGAAATCAGGACTCCTGGGCTCTCTTCCCAAGGGAGGGTAGCGGAGTCTGCTTGGACTCAGGATCCTGAGGTTCTGTTTTAGGCTTTCCCATGGGAGTGGGGTCCAGTGGATTAGAGCAGTAGGAAACAGGAAATTGGGAGTCCTGGATTTTATCTCTTGATCATCTGTTGTCTCACTATGTTATCTTGGGCTAGTCTGTTTCCCTCTCTCTCTTTCCCCCTATGTAACACTATGCTAACATTCTTCTGCTATCTGCGGATGTGGGGCAGTTAGTGCCTGACGTTATGTTAGGATGGGGGGGCGGGTCTAGGCAGGATCTGGAATTCACAATATTTGGGGGTTGGATTATATGCAATATTGTGAGAATTTGTTTCCAACTGTGAGGGTCATGGCTGCAGAAGCAAAACCCACCCACCCCTTCCCCACAGGGGAAATTAGTCATCTTTAGGGTGGGAGAACTGTAAGTTTGAAGCTTCAGTCAGGAGGTAATTGAGAGGACCCGAGTCCTGGGTGAGTAGTGAGCAGCAGCCTCTTTTCCTTGCTGGTGGAGAGGGTCTTGGCAGAAAGATCAGCAGAGGGGCTGCGTTGCTTAGTATAAAAAGGGAGATCCCACAGGGGTTACTGTATTAGGCTGAGCCAGTTCCTTATGGCAGTCTCTCTGGGTTTTTAATGTTTTCCTTGTGCATGTGTTTCTCTTTCCCTTTCCTTGTCTTCCCCCCTCTGCCCAGCTAGGATGGAAGAATCTCATTTCAACTCCTCCCCGTACTTCTGGCCAGCAGCGCCCACAGTCTCGGGACAGGTAAGAGCCTCTGTCTTCCAGCATGGTCTGTTTGGTTCTGCTCCCTGTTGGGACCAGAGTGCTCCTGACCCGATTCCTACAGTGCCTACTGCTGGGAGGTGTCAGTTCTGGGGTATTCTAAAAGAACTCTTTCACACACATGTAGATCGAGAATACCATGTTCATTAACAAGATGAAGGAGCAGCTATTGCCCCCAGAAAAGGGCTGCAGCCTTGCTCCCCCCCACTACCCTACCCTGCTGACGGTACCCACCTCTGTGGCCCTACCCACTGGCATCTCCATGGATTCAGACACCAAGTCGGAGCAGCTGACCCCACACAGCCAAGCCCCCGTGACCCAGAACATCACCGTGGTCCCAGTGCAGTCTGCCGGGCTCATGACAGCAGGTAGGGGGCACCATGAGGTTGTGAAAGAATAGAATGGTAATCTCAGCGTCTGGAGGGAATGAAGTGCGTAGGGTTCTGGATATTTTCCTTTTGGGGCTGTAGGTTGATTCAGGTCTTGGATAGTAGATGGCATGGGGGGTTCTGGACATACCTCTCTTCATTGTGCCCAGTGTACTTCTGGTGTTTCTCCTCTCCAGGTGTTGCTGAGCATTTGACTTCCAGTATCAGACAGTGGGATGGAATAGGGAGGATTGCTACTGTTCCGTGTGGATCAGGGTTAAAAATGGATTTTGAGGCCCCACTTCATTGGGGTGGGGGATCTGAAACGTGAATGGACCCGGCCCCTGATATCTGGAGGGGCTGATATCTGATCTCTTTCCCCTTTCTTTCCCTGCAGGTCCTGGCCTGGTGATCACCTCCCACTCGGGTTCCCTGGTGACCACAGCCTCCTCTGCCCAAACCTTCCCCATCTCAGCCCCAATGATTGTCTCTGCGCTACCCCCTGGCTCCCAGGCTGCCCTCCAGGTGGTGCCTGACCTGTCGAAGAAGGTGATAACCTCTCTCTCTGAAGGTGGGGGTGGGGGAGTTGCCCCTAAACCTCCCCGGGGCCGGAAGAAGAAGCGACTGCAGGAGTCGGGGCTGCCAGAGATGAGCGATCCCTTTGTGCTGTCAAACGAGGATGATGAGGACCAGCACAAGGATGGCAAGACGTACAGGTGGGGAGTGGGACTCAACCATGGCTATTTCACTGTGCGGGTGGGGGAAGCGGTTACTTGGGGAAGAGGAGGTTTGTGCTTTCTCCCTGGGAAGTCCCAGTGTGCAGATACTTTCAGCTGCAGAAAGAGTTGATTTCATCTTTTCTCTTTTAACAAATCAGGCAAATTAAAAAATGCAGGTCAGTCTGATTTTAAGGATTGCTGCAGTGTCAGGAAGTTGAGATTGAAAGTTGTCATTTGACAGCAATGCTTCTGGAGCAGCTGGTTAACAAGAGTCTAATTAGTTTAAATCTCACCAATAATGTCACCACTCTGTAGTGTGTCGGCGGTACTGCAGGGTGTAGTACCACTTGCTGCAACTAGGAGCTGTAGTACACCTGCTTGTCACTGGGGTGGGACTCTTGCCTCTGCGGTACATAGACCCCAGACAGCAGAGGAAGGAGGCAGTGAGCAAGGAATAGACTTCTATGGGGTAATTTCAGTTCACATGCTCCCTGATGGCTCTGCACCTACTCTTCCACCCCAGCAAAAGGTTGAGGGATTTCTGAGCTAGGGGTTGGAGTGTTTCTGAGACTGGTGGTAGGTGACAGATAAGGGCAGGGGGGAGAGTTATGAGCCCAGAGATGCGTTTTCTGAGCTTGGGAGGGGTGTGTCTTTTATGTTTATGAGGGAGTGATGGGAGAGGGGACTGGTTCTGAGCTGTGGAGAGGATAAGTAGGAAGAGGAGAGGGTTTCAGTCTGGGGGAGGGTAGAGTGCAGTGTTTCTGAAAAGGTGAACATTGAATGTTGTTTAGGGGGCCTGGTGTGTTTCTCAGCTGAGTGGGTTGGGTTGACGGGTGAATAGTGGTAAGTAGGGAGAGTTTGGGAGAGCTGAAGAGGTCATAAGGCTAAATATTTTCTCCCACCCTGCCCTTTACAGCAGTGTCCCAGTTCTGCATTTGGAGTGGGAGAGGGACGTGGTTGTGGTGGGGAGAGGGCTCTTTTCCACAATTCCTTACTAACCTTATTTAATCCCTTAACAAAACCTGTCCTTTGGGCTTCTGTGGATAGTTTTTGTACTGATATAACTCAATTTCTGTTACACAGCTATTTCAGTACAAGCACCTTTTGCTGTAGAACTATGTCCAAGCTGGGGCTTGTATCACTTTAAATATACTGATATGTTAAATTGATACAAAAACTTGATGTGAAGCCAGCCCTTTGACCAGTGTCCTAGTTTTTCACTTTGAAAATATGATCAACCTGCAGGAGGTCTTGCGGAGTTTGCTGCTTGCAGCTCCACCATTTATTTTGGGCATCGACCACAACTCTATGTGACTCAAGCATCATACATTCTGGGTTGCTAGTTAAGTTGCTGAACATGTATTTATAAAGGATGCACTTGGCAGTGAACACTAGAATTAAAGGTACACTGGGACTTTAATTATAGCCCCATTTGCTAGTAAGTCTGAAAAATGCCTCTAAAGCAGGTAGAATGACTCTACAAAAACCTCTGTGCAAAGTTTGGGCTTTTCCCTCACGGGCCAATGTTTGGAACAAAGGAAAATGAGTTCATAACCAGCTACCAGTAACCAGACTGAACCCTACAATGGGCAGATTTCTATGGGTGTGGAACCTGCCTCCTCCCCCATGTCCCGAACAGCTCTTCCTCGAGCACTTGTGCTTGTGCAAGGGGAGAGGGAAACGGAGGTGAGGTTCACTGGTGATCAGGTAGTAGCTCTGCCCCCTTTGCAGTCTCTTTGCTGCCATCTTCCATGCTTACTCTCAGCCCAAAGGTAGATTTATTTATTTATTTGTTTGTTTTGAAATTTTGAGCAAAATCTTATCTTCTATTTGAGCTGTGGAAGAGAAGGAAAAAATGTAACTTTTCCCTCTGTAAAAATCACATATTGTGAAAACATGGCCAAACTTTTCAAGCTGGAACTTTCCAAGTGGCTCATTCATTGAGGACTCCTGGGTTCTGTTCCTTGCTCTAGTGGGGTTTCTATAGTGCTCATTGCTATAGTATCAAAGCGTTTATTATGTAAATTACCTCTGCCTGATGAGATTCCTAGTAGTCTCCATGAAGTCTCTACTCTTTCCCTTTCCTGGTTGGAGGAAGCTTTGCTTGGGGTGTGGATGTACATGTGTGGTGGTGTTTTCATAAAAACACGGATTCTGGTAGAAATGTTTCATTGCTGAGAGTCTGGCTAGGTCCTCTGAAGAGGATTAAACTATATCAGTCTGCTATCTAGGAGCTCATTCTATAACTGCAACCCTCTAGGGGTTTCTCATGCTGTTCCCTAGTCTGCATAGCAAAACATCCAGGATGTGGGTGTCTTGGTTATCTCAACTTTGTTTAGGAATGAGAGGTTTGAAACTGGATAGTAGATGAATTTCTGCACCCAGGGTTGGCTTTTTTGATCAGACAGAAATTACTGTGTTTTTCAGGGAGATTGAGGGGTTCACTTTTCTGAAGGAAGCGGTAATGATTTCTGTTAGGAAGGACATCTTATATTCACTCATGGGCTTTCATTACACTGGGATGTGGATCTGTTCACAGATGATGGCTGAAATGTTTCTCGGAGCTTCTGAGTTTCCTGGCATGTGATATGGCACAGCTCTGGCAGCGCTGGGAGGCAGTTACTGCTGTCTGGTCCAGTTTAAGTCTCTGCCTTGGCAAACCCTTCTTCTATGTGGCTCATTTTTCCTCTAAAATAAAATTAAAGCTCTTTGCATGTGGTGTTTGGTTCTGATGTCTGGATTGTGCAGACCAGGATGATTAGCCAGTTCGCTATATGGAATAGCTTTGCTGATTGTGATTTTTTTTGAAGATGGGAGAAAAGAGTGGGGGACAAAAAAGTCTTCCCACTGCTGCCTGCCTTGGGCTCTGTACCTCCTACTGCCATTTCACTGGTTCCCCAGTTCCCCTACCTTCCATTGCTCTTGGATCAACAGCTTTCTTAGGGCTGCGGGAGATGGGCAACTGGAAAACAGAAGATGTGCTGGAAAAACTGAGTGAGGAGCACAGAGAAATGGGGGCACAGGAGCAAATTGACTTTGGGGGATGGAGGGAGAGTTGTGAGTGGTTAGGGGAGCCCAGGGTCCAGGAAAAAGGAGAGGGCAGGGCAGAGGAGCCACGGGCTCAGGTACAATAGTCATACAGGACTTCATGCTTGCCCGCTTCTCTGTGCCACCTCGAGCCCCAAGTTCCATTTATTCTGTCCGCACCCCAAGACTTTTACTTGTTTGTTCAGAGGGTCTAGAGTCACAACCAAATGAACTTCCTTTGGCTGGTTGTCGCAGAACTTCTCATCTGGCTACCCATGCATGTTCATCAGGAATGGAGCTCTGCTTGACAAAGGACTTTCTCTGTCAGTTCTCCTCTCTTCCAGTGTTGGGATGAGGACAGTTGGGGAGCATCAGAAAGGCTGGAGAGACAGGAAATCCTGGGGCCTGGAACTTGCTGTCAGCTAAAAATACAAGGAAATGATAAACTTTGTTTAAAAACCAGTTAGTTTCTCAACTGATGTTTACTCAAATGCAACCCACAGAATCATGGAAACGATTTAAATCCTAATTTGGTGCGGACACTCATAAGAACATAAGAATGGCCATATTGAGTCAGATCAATGTCCAACTAGCCCAGTATCCTGTTCTCCGACAGTAGCCAATTTCAGATGTTTCAGAGGAATGAACAGAACAGGGCAATTTATTGATTGATCCATCCCCTGTTGTTCAGTCCCAGCTTCTGGCAGTCAGAGGTTTAGGGACACCCAGAGCATTGGATTATATTCCTGACCATCTTTTTTTATAACCGTTGAGAGACCTATTCTCCCTGAATTTATTTAGTTCTTTTTTGAACCCCATTACAGTTTTTTGTCTTCACAACATCCCCTGGCAACGAGTTCCACATTGGTGTGTTGATGGATTGTGTGTTGTGTGAAGAAGTGCTTCCTTTTGTCTGTTTTTAAACCTGTTGCCTATTAATTTCATTGAGTGACCCCTGGCTCTTACGTTATATGAAGAGGTAAATAGCACTTCCTTATTCAATTACTCCACACCATTCATGATTTTATAGACATCTAGCATATCCCCACTTAGTCATCTCTTTTCTAAGATGAGAAATCCTAGTCTTTTTAATTTTTTGTCATGGAAGATGTTTTATACCCCTAATCATTTTTGTTGCCCTTCTCTGTCCTTTTTGCAATTCCAGTATATCTTATTTGAGATGGGGCAACCAGAACTGCATGCAGTTTTCAAAGTGTGGGTGTACCATGGATTTATATAGTGTCGTTATTATATTTTCTGTCTTATCTATCCCTTTCCTTATGGTTCCTAACATTCTGTTTGTTTTTTTGACTTTCGCTGCACACTGAGCAGATGTTTTCAGAGAATTATCCAGAATGTCTCCAAGATCACTTTTTTTGAGTGATAAGTTAATTTAGATCCCATTATTTTGTATGTATAGTAGGAATTTTGTTTTCCAACGTGCATTACTTTGCATTTATCAACACTGAATTTCATCTGCCAATTTCAAGTAGCCCAGTCACCCAGTTTTGTGAGATCCCTTTGTAACTTTTCCAGTCTGCTTTGGACTTAACTATCTTGAGTAATTTTGTATCATCTTCATATTTTGCCACCTCTCTCTCTACCCCTTTTTCCAGATCATTTATGAATATGTTGAATAGTACAGATCCCTGGGGGTACTGCTGTTTACCTCTCTCCATTCTGAAAACTGATCATTTGTTCCTACCATTTGTTTCCTGTCTTTTAACGAGTTACTGATCCAGGAGAGGACCTTCCCTTTTATCCCATGACTACTTACTTTGCTTAATAGCCTTTGGTGAGAGTCCTTGTCAAAGGCTTTCTGAAAGTCCAGGTATACTATACCCACTGGATCACCTTTATCCACATGTTTTTTGACCCTCTCAAAGAATTCTAATAGATTTGTGCGGCATGATTTCCCTTTACAAAAGCCATGTTAATTCTTCTCCAACAAACCATGTTCATCTATGTGT